AAGATAATGATACGAATGGATACTGTAGATCACAATAGCATTGTAATAATATACAAGAACACACAATGTTAAATGACCGTCAATATTGTTGCCAGATGCTGTTTTGCTTTTGCTTCAGAAGCACAGAGAGCCATTCAGAAACAGAGGCGCTTTCAGCTCTGCGCTTCTTATTATGATGGTTATCAGAGCCTCTGTGTGTGTGTGTGTTTTGCATCCATAATATAAAAAAACCTTCTGTTTGATTGACACTCAGCTGTCTTTCTCTCCTTGAAATGGCTGTTTGCATCCCACAAGGTTACAGAAATAGCACAGAGAAGAGAGAGACTGAAAAGAAAAAAGCATGCCTTAGATAGACAGAACTGACAGAAATGTTTGATTAATCTACTGCAGCTCCAAATTATAACAAATAAAATCATAAATATTGCAGCTCCACATTAAATTAAAAAAAAAAAATTATATGCTGAAACTTCAAAATAAAATAAAATTCTGTAGTGCCAATGCTATACAAATAAAATTTAAATAAAATTTGAAAATTTAATTTAATTTAATTTAATTTAATTTAATTTAATTTAATTTAATTTAATTTAATTTAATTTAATTTAATTTAATTTAATTTAATTTAATTTAAATTTAAATTAAATAAATTTACTGAAGCTTGAAAACAAATAAAATAAAATGAAGTGAAATTAAATTAAATTAAATATACTGCAGCAAATAAACTAAATAAATAAAATAAAATAAAATAAAATAAATATTGCAGCTCCAGTTTAATTAAATACAATTAAATTAAAATAAATAAATACAAATACTGAAGCTTCAAAACAAAGCAAATAAAATAAATGATTAAATAAACATACCGAAGCTTCTAAATGAAAAAAAAATTCAATAAAAATTTTTGCAGCTCCACATAAAATAAAATAAATAAATTAATAAAGTAAAATATATTAATATACATGAAACCTCGATACAAATAAAATAATATTAAATATACAGCAAAATTTTAAATAAAACAAATAAAACAAAACAATAAATATTGCAGCTCAATATAAAATAAATAAAATAAAAATAAATTAATTAATAAGTAAATAAATATAAAAATATACTAAATCTTCAAAACAAATCAAATCAAATAAATAAGTTAAAAATAAATAAATATACTGAAGCTTCAAAACAAAATGAAACAAATAAATAAAATAAAATATATGGCAGCTCCAAAATAAAACAAATAAAATCATAAATATTGCAGCTCCACATTAAAAAAAAAACAATTACTAATGTTTTCCATCTTACACTTTAATAAAGTGTCTTGAAAACATAAAAAAAAATTACTAATGTTTTCCTTCTTACACTTTAAGAAAGTGTCTTGAAAACAAATAAATAAAATATATGGCAGCTCCAAAATAAAACAAATAAAATAAAATCATAAATATTGCAGCTCCACATAAAATAAAATAAAACAAAAATAAATACGGAGGCTTCATAACAAGTACAATAAAAAAATGTACTGAAGTTAAAGAGCCCATATTATACATGAAATAGGGTCATATCCTGGTTGTAAGGGTCTCCAACAACAGTCTAATATGCATGCAAGGTCAAAAAACACTTTCATGGTCTTATAATCTGCATTTAATTTTACCTAATTATCCCAGCGACTCCTGTATGAATCGTCCAGTGATTCATTTGTTCCCAAACCCCTCCTTAGCGCAGAGCTAATCTGCGCTGATTGGACCGATGACAGTCTGTCGCGATTGGTCGACTGCCTTCAGTCAGAGAGGGAAATGGCCAATAGCTAATCAGCAATTTAAAAAGTAATCACAGTTCATACACGCTCGATAGTGTAGGCGTGGATTTTAGCTGCCACACTATGGCGAGTGGATAGTGCCACGGATAACCGAACGAAGGAGACAGTCGTGTACTCGCCATACCACACACACACAAAAACACACACACACCTCCGGATGACAACGCTCCCGCTTCAGCCCGCACCCGCCAGGTTTTAGCCTGAGAACCCGCTCCGTTTTCTGCCCGCCGCGCCCGGTCCCGCTAGAGCGGAGAACACAACCAAATATCACCCAGTATACAGTCCAGACAGCCAAGCTGTCTGTATAAAAACACACACACACAGCACAAAGTACACAAAGCTCGTTCGTTCGTTCGCTCTCTCTCGCTCTCTCTCTCTCTCTCTCTCTCTCCCCGCGCCAGATTTCTGCGGCGCGGGAATACATTTCCGAATAAATCGCGGGAGAAGAACTCTAGCACGGAGCTCCATAAACAAACAGCACGCGTCGCGTTTTTAACGTGACTTTGCACGCGATAAGATAATATATCCAGTTAACCTGATACAGTACACGCGGTTACAAGTAACAAATCACAACTAAATACATTTGCAAGCTAGAGTAAACGAGGCAACAACTTTAACCGCACGTACTTACACTTGAGAAATGGAAGAAACCCATCCTGACGTCCATCAGTTACTCTTTACTGATCCTTCCTTTAACAAACTCAGGTGAAGTATTCTTTGTAGCATGTAGCTTCCAGAAGTTTCCAACTGCTTGGTTATAATGCTGAGGTTTCATCTTTGGGTAGAGACTCAACATATCCATCTGCAGTGTGACTTCAATCGACCGGCATGTTTGTGTGCGTGTGTTTGTGGGTGTGCGTGTGTTTGTGGGTGTGTGTGTGTCTGGGTTTCTGCGTCAGAGGGCGGGGCCTCAGGTTTGAAATCTCCCGGGTTTGCGCGTGCACGTGAATAACTTGGTTTCGTTCGTACGTCATGGCGAAACACCTAATGAATTGGTATCAAGGCGACTCATTTGAAGCACTATGAGTCGACTCTTTTATAGATGAATCAACCGTTTTAAACACTGTATTCTTACAGATTTAAGCCTTAGCTGGATACTTCACTTCACTTAGAGCTGTGTTACACACTACATGGAGGGGAATTTTCAAAAACCCATAATATGGGCTCTTTAAATAAAAAAAAAAAAAAAAAAAAAATATATATATATATATATATATATATATATATATATATATATATATATATATATATATATATATATATATATATATATATATATATATATATATATATATATATATATATATATATATATATATATATATATATATATATATATATATATATATTGAAGCAATTCTTTGTTAGATGGACTATTATGAAATATAGAACATTACTTGAGCTCTTTGTGCAAGTAAACCACTCACAAACAATACAACCATGAATAAACCTACAAAAACACTGTAAATTGCTTTTAAGATAATGCAAGTTGCTCATTAATTGAATCAGCGTTGATTTTTTTCTCTGTGTGTGTGTTTTACTGTGTCTCCATGTGTTTTATTTGCTATGATTCATCCCTTTATTCCTCCTTTTTGAGAACTAATAAAGATGAGTAAGACGGCGGGGGCTCAGAGACTCTTCTCCATCCTCGCACAGGTCTCATCTTGAGGGATTTTATACCTCCTCAGATTGGCTGTGGATCAGTAAATCTGCTCGCCACACACATTTCCCATAAACCCCTCCCTCCACATCGGCCTCTGCGCACTTCACGTTATTTGATTATTTTAGATGCGGTTGGGTGTAATAAAGCATGCATTGGTGGTTCAGTGCTGTAGCTCCAGACTGGACATCAGTATTTTATGATGTGGCCAGTAGTGTTACAGTGTGTATGTGTGTGTGTGTGTGTGTGTGTGTATGTGTGTTTTAAAACACTGTACTCTATCTTGTAGGCTTTATAAGGCTGTGTTTGAGGAACAATCGTCAGCAGAATGTATAGACAAGCGGCGAGAGAGACCTTCCTCATCCTCTTCCTCATCATCAGCCTGGTAAGAATAAAAACGGATATGTAGTGCACCTTATAGATTAGTACACCCCCTTTTGAAAATTCATATTTTTAGTGGATATAGACATTATACTGTACACTCACCGGCCACTTTATTAGGTACACCTTGCTGGTAAGGGGTTGGACCCCTTTTTAGCTTCAGAACTGCCTTAATCCTTCATGTCATAGATTCAAAAAGGTACTAGAAATATTCCTCAGAGATTATGGACCACATTGACATGATAGCATAACAAAGTTGCTGCAGATTTGTCGGCTGCACATCCATGATGCGAACCTCCCGTTCCACCACATCCCAAAGATGCTCTATTGGATTGATATCTGGTGACTATGGAGGCCATTTGAGTACAGTGAACTGATTGTTATGTTCAAGGAACAAGTCTGAGATGATTTACGTTAATGAAATTTGCAATAACGAGCAGTTGGACAGGTGTACCTAATAAAGTGGCCGGTGAGTGTATATTGGTTCATTTAAACAAAACCGTTTCAGAAGTTGAAGGATAATACATTTCATTCAAATGAGGTCAAATACGAACTTAAAAAATGGCAACTCAATTACTATTTTTGCTTCTTTTGATGATTATTTCTCCTTGATAAAATGTTTTCATAATCATTAGGTTGTACTATTGTTTTGCACTGTGATTGATAGTTATTTTGTTGGGTTAGTTCCAGTTTTTGGTGCTGACTAATCTACTGTACAGTGTATCTTGTGGTGGTGATGTGAAGAGACTCCCCTCATGATTGTGAAGCGCTTTGGGTGTATGGCCATACACAATAAATGCACTGTATAAATACACTTTACATTACATTACAGTATATCTTATTGTATAAGATAAAGGGTGTACTCATTCATGCATTTTATCTGTCACATACACAGTCATACATAGTATGATAAGCAGTGAAATGTTTACATTGTATAATGCTCACTGTATATGTGACGCTGGACAACAAAGCAATTCATAAGTGCATTTTTGGGATAGGATTGTGTTTGGCTGACACATGGATATTTGAAATCTGAAGGTTTTAAATATTTTTGAAATAATGAGAAAATCACATTGAAAGTTCTTTTAACAACACGGTTTCATTGGGAAAATGTGCACATGGATACATTTATGAGAACCGAGATATATGTGCCTCAGGGTACATAATGACATCGGGCCCTATCAGACACCCAGTGCAATAAGATGCAAGATGTGTTTGGCACGATTTGTTGCTTTTTTCAGACCAGTGCAACAGTAATTTTTATGTTTTCCGTCACGTTGTTTAAATAGCAAATCCATTTGCGCAACTTTGTGTACTCATGGGTGTGCGGGTCTATAAAGGAGGTGTGTTAAGGCGCATTGTTGGTTGCTATTTTGAGGAACTAAAATAGACCTCGCCATTGACTTATAAAAAGCTGGTCTAAAGTCTCGCGCAGAGTGCGTTAGTTATGCGCCTGTGCTGGTCCAAACGCTTACACATTGCTTAAGACATACAGGATGTACAGCAATACACAAATATCTTTACATATGAGAACAATTAAAATGTTACAAAAATGATTATTTTCTACATAAATTTAAAAAACATTACCTCCATGCCTTCTTTGTAAGGCTGAATGGAGGAGGCTCGTTCTTTATCCTTGCGCTGCAGATGCTCTGTTTAACTCTTTTCTCGCTATTGAAGCGTTCAGTTTTTCCACTTACAAAGTTCGCCATGTAATTATCAAATAGAGTTAAGACTCTGATTGGTTTAATGCATGTTATGCTCAAAACACACCCCTAACTCATGAAGAGAATAAGCACAACCCTGTTAGATCAAGGCGCAGTGTGTAGTTTTTCATCCTTAAATAGAAAAAGTGGATTCCAGCAATTTTGAGGCCCACCACATCATTAAGATTTTCCCGAACCGCTAATATTGATAATACCATACCTGTCAACATTGGGATGTCAAAATAAGGGATATGCTCACCATAATAAGGGATCCCCCCCCTTTTTTAAAAATCCCAAATTACTAAATATGTTCATCTGGAGCTTTTTTATTGTAAATAAACAGTTAAATGGTCAGTAATATGTTGTATTATTTTTATTTACAGAAGAAAAAATAGATAGTATACATTAGCAGCAAATAAATTAGCAAACAGTTCAGCATATTAAAATTACCAGCTATTATAATGAAATAGAATCAAGCTATCAAATCTCATTAGCCGTTTCTTCACAGTATAACTTACACATTCTGATTAAAGAGCAACGAATGAATCTGTATTTATATTTTTTACGTTTGATTACATTAAATATAGGTGTCACTTTAACAATGCACACATCTAACGCTATAATGAAAGCGTTCGACTGCTTTCCTGACTTTTTATGCTCATTTAAGACTAAATTAGTTGTTTGAAAAAAAAAAAAAAACCCACCAAGATCGACATCTTTAGATGTTGTTATTATTATTAATTATGTGTAAATGTTTGTTCTAACAAGCACCCAAAACCCAGACTGTCTCTCCACTTCATATTGCATGTACAGAATCCGTTTGGGAAACAGCGTCTATTCATCACTATGCAGCTGACTGTCATGCACCATTGTATGACTGTTTTGAGGATTGCATAGGAGGGGTGACGGCACCTGTATTGAAAAGGAAAGGGAATCGCACCGTTGATATATTTATTTCAAAGTGTTTTCGTGCATAATCAAAGCGAAAGCACAGAACAGACTCGCATTTGAAAGCAAGGGGCGGCCCCTGGTGGTTCGGGGGTATGGGTTGCATATAGGGAGGCTCGGCTCTTTAATGTTTATTAGCCACCCTTCAGAGAAAGACTGAAAATACGGGAAAATACCTTTACGCGATGATAGCAGGGAACTGTAAAATACAGGAGGATCACAGGAAAAACGGTAGGGTTGACAGGTATGGATAATACAGATTACCGTGTTTCAGAATTAAAGCATATAATCATGTCCACAAGACAGGATTTGCAAAGAAACTGTGATGAAAAGTTCTGGGTACATTAAAAATAGGAATATTATACATTATCTGATATATTAAACCTCACAGACACATTCTGGAGACACAAAAGACGTATTTTACATCTTGTAAAAAGGCCAAAATTGAAGCCCTTTAAAACGCAGGCAGATGTTTTTGTTTGTTATTCTTGAAATATCTGAGGCAGGACCTGTTATGCTGCGTTCACATGCATGAAGCGTCAAGCATGGGTGATTTTACATGTTAATCAATGCAAAGACACGAATGGACATCCTGTGGTGGGATAAGTGCAAATGACATGATTCGCGTGATTGTAGCAGCGCTAGTTGAGCGTTTTGCAAATCGCTCTAGTTGAAAAATCTGAACTTCAGCGGTCATTCTCACGCATTAACCAGTCATGAACCTTAATTGTCATGTAGGGACGTGATTATGACATAGCATCTGTTGTTGGCGTCCCTGGTCAAAATCCACCTGCCGACACGGACAACAGCTCATCAAGCTGGCCTCAGCTCAGTCTGAAAGCCTTTTTCGTCCAGGTATATTTTTTTCTGGAGGAGTTGATGAACTCACAAAGCTGGGTGCAGCTCTGAAAGTAACTAGTGGACATGGCTCCAAATGAATCTACGCTGTTTTTCAGCCTTCATAAAGACTGAATCTCTTAATAAAATCCATGTTAGCCATTTAACATGGAAGCTAGAGTCACCAGCAGACAAAAGCCCTGCCCGTCTATTGTGAAGTGAATTTAATGCGCTAATGAAGCAAGTAAACTCAAAATGTTCATGTGTCTGTTTACATGTTCCGCATCTGGTGTGAACACAGCATAAAGGCTCCTCTCTCTCTTCTGGAAAAGGGGCGGAGATGCAGCAGTTCATTTGCATTTAAAGAAACACATTGAACATTTACGATAACTTCACAGACACGTTCTGAGGACACTTGAGGAATACAATAAAAAAACAAATCATTGTAGTTTTTAGCTTTATTTAAACGAACAAAAACATTTGTAATAGTTTTAGATTGGTTTTATGATAATAACTCTTAAAAACACAAAACAATGCATTAATAATACATAGTCATATGTATAATAATACATAGAGGAAAGACGAGGAGAAAATCCAAAAGTGTATTTTTTGCTTTAATGCCACTTTCAGTTTCAACACTTATCAGTGAGGTTGACCTTTGAAAAGAAGAAAAGCAACTGTGTGGTTTTGGAGATCCTTCTGTGATAATCTCTCCTCTTTTAGTTCTTGGTAATTTCCAAGTATAGTATGAGGTAAGAAACATTGTGACGAGAGTGTCTTATCTCTCATGTTTATTGTGTTAATCCTGCTCCATTCTGCTTAAAATATAGTTTGTGTTGTTGTGTGTCCTTCTGCGTTGACGTCATTTTGCAACAGGAAGTGTCTGTGTGTGTGTGTGTTCCTTGTATTTCTCATATGTGCCAAATGTCCCCACAAGAATAGCAATACCACTAAAGTTTGACTTTGTGAGGACTTTTTTTGGTTTCCATGAGAAAAATGGCTGATTACAGTTTTTCTCAATTGCTTGGATGCAGTTGTCAACTGAAACTCCACATTTTCAAAACAGTTAACACACAGGCCTAAACAGCAGCACTCATGGTCAAAATGACACATTTTGCTTGCAAAAGGCACATATTGTGTCAAAACATTTACAATATGCAACAAAAGCTAGTTTTACCTTCAAACAACACAACTTGCAAACAGGTATATGAGCTCTTTCAATTAATCATTACACAACGGACAACAAAATACAAAATACAGAAGTCAGTGCAGCACCATTGCCTGTCATTGTAGCCTATTGCCAATGCCATTTGTTGTCTTTCTATTTGTGCTGTCAAATTTGCCTTTTTGCAAAGAATTGAATCCAGAATAAGAAATGCTTTGATTACATTTATATTGAATTCATGACAATTGAAAACTGAAATACTGTAAAAACAGACAAAAGTAATAAAATACTGTAAATATTAAAGAAAACACATGTAAACCAATATACAGTCAAATTTATTAGGAGTAA